TTTCATTATTGATGCTATTAAATAACTCCTTCTCAATATATGTAACCAAACAATCATTCAACAAAGTATCTCCTAAACGATTGCGAGTCAAGTCTTCATTATCTTCATTGCAGAAAAAACCCTCTCTACGAAGCAATAACCACGGGTAAAATCAAAACTAGTTTCAAAAGCAAATAAACTAAAGGGTATAGTTTATTCTTCTTTGTTTCAACTAGCTTTTTAGCAAGATCTCAATCCCTTTAAGGCCAAAAAATTGTTCATTAGATCTCACATTAATGATATAATTCTCAAGTTGATCTTCAATTTTAACAAGATCCACCTTAGAAAAATCAAATGGATAAAATGTGGCAAGATGAATGATTTTCTTCCTTTCGAAAGCTTGAAAAGAATCAATAGGATTTAAACAAGCCACACAAAGAAGAATTTCTACATTCACCTCCGTGAATCAATTGTTTAACTCTTAAAGTTGCATGTCAATTACGGTATAAAATAACTCAACTTGGTAATGATGAAAGTTTGCCACTTTTTGAGCATTTCTTCGGGGCCTCCCCGGAATAACAAACATATCATCCATTCTTGGAACAACAATATCATGAACATCACAAAAAGAAGATGCCTCGGAGAGTAAAGATGTCCATCCACTATCTCTCATCATTTGAAGCCGCTTCTTTGACACATTAACTAAAGCCATTGCATTGATGATGTCTTGATATTTTCTTTGCAATGATTGGGAAAACTCATTTGTAATCTCCAATATTTTTTTCATCAAATGCAAGTTGAAAACAAACTCAAAAGACTACATTAAGAAGGGCATACGCTTCACCTTTTTGCTACGATTTTGTACCTTCATTCTCAATTATCTCGAGCACACCAACTACGGATGCAAATATAACAATAAGATTCACCAATAATCCATAATGCAAACCCTATCAAGTATCACTTGTTCGTTGAAGGGAAGTTTCTTGATTTAAACCCCTACCACTTTGAATTTCACCACTTTGAAGTGCTTCGACAACCTTGCTATATTGTTTTTCACAAAAAAGATCTTTTCTTTTACATGAAGCTCCAACAACATTTGATAAATTAAAAACGAGTGTTGAATAACAAAGCAATCCGAGCATGATTTTTAGCCACGATAACAAGAGCTAATTGCAAGCGATGAGCAAAACAATGAACATAAAATACAATTGGATTTTCTTTCATGATCAATGCCTTTAAGCCATTAAATTCACCTTGCATGTTGCTAGCACCATCATATCCTTGACCGTGCAAACGAGACAAACTTAAAGAATGTTTAGAGAATAATGCTTCAATTGCCAACTTAAGTGAGAGAGATAAAGTGTCACTAACATGCATAATACCAAGAAAACGTTCAATTACACATCCTTTAGCACCTACATATCGCAACACAAGCTGCCATTTGTTCTTTCACCGATATATCCCGAGACTCATCAATTAATATAGTAAATAAATCATCTTGAAGATCATCGATGATGGCATTAGTGGTTTTAATTGAAGCAACATGCACAATATCCCTTTGGATCTCAAAAGCAACATGTTTGACATTACCACGAGCATTTTCTAAAATCACATTCTTTATGAATTCATTATGATCAGCAAGAAAGTGTAAAAGTTCTAGAAAATTACCTTGATTATCGAAATTTTTTTATTCATCATTGCCATGAAAAGCCAATCATTAACGTAAAAGAAATCGAATGCAATCAATTATCGCGGTTAGATGAATTCGAAAATCTCTTCAAGCTTGATTTGATTAAGCCTAAAAAATGACATTAATATGTTGTTTTTGATTCATTATATTTTGACATTTCCTCCAAGCTTCACTTGTGAGCACTATTGTGGCTTTTAACATGAATTTGAAATCTTTCTTTCTTTTTCCAATTAGTAAAACCTTCAATAGTAAGATAATCACCATTTGTCTTATCTCTAATATCAACTCCATAAAGATAACAACATAGACAAAAGGTAACATCTTTAGCTAGACTATTCTCCAACCGGGTTTTATACTCCTTAAACCAAGAAGGAACAAATCTCCTTATCTTTCTAATCCTTCTTTGTGGGAAATCGTGTTCATGAGGTTGACAAGGACCCTTTTGCAAATAAGCTCTTCAAATTCTATCTTGATCATTTGGATGATAATCTGAAATTTGTTTTCTTAATCCAAGATATGAACATAAATCATCCAAATCAATTTCCAAACGCGGTTGTTTGGAAGAACTTTGCTATTTTTTTTGTACGAGGCATTGTTGTCGCTTGATGGTTCCTTGATAATTTGTTTTCTTTTAAAAAATTTCTCCGTAACTACATCATATAAAAATAATTCAATAATGAGTTCAAAAGAATAATATATATCATATATAGGTACATAAGAATAATATATATGGGCACAATCTTAATAGCACCATGGAAGTTAATAATTAATTTGAACCAAAGTCAAAAGTAAATGAAATGAAATACTACCACATCAATCTCATATATCACAAAGCAACAAGTTAAAATAACAATGTAAAGCGAGTAGGAGTAACAAATTAATAGACTGGTTATTAGGCGAGCACTTTTATAATTATAGCAACAAAATTTCATATACTTTCTAACTTTCATTATATATTTTTTTTCGCTAAATAATTAGAGCCTAAAAATGATGGGTTTAATTCATTAATTGTAGATTGTAAAAGAAAACCAAGCCAACATAAATAATTAATGTAACATCTCAATTTATCCTTTTTATTTATTTATGAATCATGAGCCACGTTTATCATGAGAACTATAATTAATTACCCTTACACACTTATGAAAATATGGCCAAATCTAATCATAAAATTCACATGAATCATGATCCTCCCTATTCTCAAACATGCCATCTTCACTTTCCAAAAAGACAATTATTCTAAATTGATCCTTTAAACTAACAAGGATTTCAATTACATATCAATTTAACCACCCCACTTTGATTCTATGGGTAATATGCTCCTCAATGTTTCTCTATGTTAATATTATAGAAGTTAGGTATCAAAAATACATATGCATATATTAATATATATTACATGATAAAAAAATTAAAAATAGATAATTGAGAAACAAAAAAAGAAACTAACCTGATTTTTTATTGAGATCCAAAAGCTCAATCTCCACTTCGCTTGATTTTTCAATAACAAAGATATAAGCTCTTGACTTGAAAAAAAAGAAAGAAAGAAAGAAAGAAAGAAATAGAAGCTGTAGAAGAAGAAGACAGGAGAGAGAGTGAAAAACGAAAGATTATAAGGTAAAGGTGAAAAAGAAAGAAGAAGGAAGTCATGACCACTAGAAAAGAAAAGAAAGACATACACGTGGTGTGGCATATGAGCAAAAGTTTGAATCCTCTCTCTTCTTCTCAATTATATATATATATATATATAGTTTTTAGTGGGGCCTTGCACATTTGTCTTTGCATATGAGGGCAAAATAGCTTTGATCATCCCTTTTTCTTCTAAATTAAATATGTATATATATGTATATTTTATTTTTAAAAAAAAAATTGATGGGGCCAGTGGAGGCATTTTGTGTATTCGTCTCTGCTTATCATTCCTAACTTATCTATAAGCACTATAAAAAATTCATTGTATCTTTTGAAGATGACAATTTGGTCATTGGAAACCACTGGTATTGGTTTCAAAGATTTGAACTTTCCTCCCCTGAAATGAGATATTTTCCTTCTTCTTTTTTGTCTTTTTTCTTTTCTTTTTTTTTTTTTTTTTTTTTTTGGAACAAGCAAAAAATAAAAGGATGGATAGAGAATAAGTCTTCTGCTTAAACCAAATTCCTAAGTCTAAGAAAAAATACATGCCCACATGTGGGTTTCTACTTCAGATGCCCAAAACTATTGACTCACTTGCTTATCTAATGAGTAAAAGAAGAAAACTCAGAAAAGATAAACAACTTGTGACACAAAGAAACAGCTGCAAAAGCATCGATATGCATGATAATGAAAGAACTAATAAAAGAACAAAAAAAGCTTTTAGAGATTATGAGTACCTGAAACTGAGAGGGGTATGAAAGCGGTTTTTGTCAAGTTTGATAGAGTGAAATTGAGGTATGCAATTGCAACTATTTGGACGATGAAACCTATGAATCAGCATGGAAGAAGAAGCCATTTTTCTTTTTTCTTTTTATTATCTGCAATGGAATTATTATCGGTTATAATAGAACTAATGACTTGATCTATCTTTATTTTTGTAATCTATTTCCTTTTTTTATTGAAGTAATTTTATTTTTAAATACATATTAAATTTTTAATTTATTTTTTTTATCAAAATTTTTAAGCAAAACCATTAATATCTTATTAAAATAATAAATTAAATTAAACACTTAAAATCTTTCATGTATTCCTAAGTTTCAAATTATATCTTATTCGTCTATAAAAATATTTGAAATGTTCAATCTGTCCTACTATCATTTTTTTCAATTGAATAAAAAAATTAACCGAAATGTCTCTAATTGAAATATATATATATATAAAAAATAAAGATTTCAAAAATGAAATATGTAAGTCTTATGAAATTTAAGTGTTTTTTTTTGCATCTCATTAAAAGTATTTTAGTCAAAAAAAAAATTCTATAGTAAAAAAATTTAATCAAAATGATAAACTAAACATTTCAAATTTTTTTAAGAAACGAGATGAAATGCAATTAAAAATCTAAAAACTAATAAAAAAAATTTTAATTATCGCTCAAGAAACAATTGCCTTAAGCGAAATGAACTCTAATTGCTAAAGTATGTAGTCCGGAATTTGATTTTTTATGTATTCAAAAAGCTTTTTAAATAATTGTGTATATTTTATATGTTTAACAAAATAATAAGGGATTAATTTAACATTTTAGATTTGAGATATTTTAAAGATTCAAAAAAAAGACATATAGGTATATTTATTTTTAAAAATATAAAGATAAATTAAAAAGCTATTAGGACATATTCACTCTTACACCGACCATAATAAAAAATACCCGATGGATTCAGGGAAGGCGAAGTGAATTATTCTTCAGTTCCTGAGTTTCAAATATATTTTATATTACCCTTTATATTTCAAAACTTGTAACTTAATTAAAGAAACTCGAAGAGTGGTATGCCTATTTACTAAAATAACTAAGGGAGCTTTTATTGAGATAGCAATCTTAGGTGGCCAATGAATTAAGTTATGTTCTCTCTGAAAACAAGAACCAAGTTATTATATGGGGACTAAATTATTATTTACTCTTTTTTTATCCTGGAGTATTTTAATCTCAAATGCATAAACTAATATTTAGTTAATCGATCAGATATACAAAAAGTTATAACTATTTAATGAGTTTTTTATATATATAAAAATTTAAAATCAAAATCACTTACTTAAACGATTAGAATTTTTTTTTACTCTTGAATATTTACTCTTATTTACACATACACACATATACATATATAAAGTTTGTTCTTAATATAACTTTTGATCGTACGTACATTAAATCCCCTCTAATTAATTGATTTTTTTAGCAAGCGGGAAGTAGATGAGCTTAATTTACTAGTGGAGAAAGGAGCAGCAGAAATATTATGCCAAACAAATGACGGGGCACAGTACAACTCTAGCAGAATGGAGCCTGTGATTGATTGTCATTCTTACTGTAATAATAGATCAAGAACACACAGATGGTTCTTAAAATTAATCTTGATGATGAAGAGGAATCATTGGCGAAAGAAGAACATCAATTGTTGCTTGCTGATTGTGTTCAAGTTCCTGATCGATGAGTCTCGGATGGATCTGAACCTTATTGCTGGTGGCCACAAAATAATTAATGGAGCTATTTTTTAAGGTGAGACATATTGTATGTATGAAATGAAAGAACTTTTTTAAACAAATTATTGTCTTACTATAAAAGGGGGAAAAAAGAAGAAGAAATTTTACATAATTCTTAACTAGGATAAAAGATAAATTGAAATTACTTCCAGGTAAATGCCATGAACCCATTATACATAAGAGTGGGGAAAAATAAAAAATCCAAAATCTTCAGGCTACAATTAAAACATAACTCAGTAACAAGACTCGCAGCTTCATGATGGTGGACTATTGGAATCATGCATAATTTCACCAGGCATTAATGGGATATATACCAGCTAGCTTGGACAATCTGTTCCAGCCATAAAAGAAGCTATGCTCTCAATTTAATCACCAATCCATCCTTCTTGACGTCTTTCTCGTAAAAGGTTAGTGCTGCAAACGGACTTGGCCATATTATCAAGCTCACAAGGCCGTCTTGAATTTGCAGGGCCAATCGTAATCCAAGTATGCTAAACTTCCACACTATTTAAATTCATTGCATTAATCAATGTTTAGAGTAATAAGGTATGATTACAAAATTGGTCTTCTTCTCTTTTTCTTGCCCCTTTCTTCTTATTTAATTTTCCTTTTTGTCATTAAGCGGTTTTTTGCTATTACTTCTTTACCCAAACATTAGTTTCCTTCTTTTTCCTTCAATTTTTTTTATTTTTTATTTTTGGTTCTCTTTTGATATTTCCTTTTCATCTTTGACCAAGCATTTAATGTTCTACCAACATGAATTTTCATCTCTTTGCATCCTCATCAGTTTCTTTATTTCATTTGCACTAGTCCTTGCTTTTTATAGAGGGAAATCTTCGGTTGATTCGATTTTTCTTTTCTCTTTCTTCTATTTTTTGCTTAAATATTTAAGTTGTCACTGGGATTGAAATATTTCGATTTGTAAACAGAAACTTCTAAAACAAAACTGAAAAAACACTATACACAATTCTGGTGGTTTTTATTGACAGGAGACAGAGCAGTGACATTTTTGAGAATTTTAGAATTTTTTGGAGCATTTTTTTTTTATTTCAACACTTTTTTTTTTTTTGACATTTTATATGCTGCCTCCTCAACCATTCATTAAACTACAAAAAACTCTTTCATATGCAATGTTTTATAAATATTGCACTTTAATCCTTAATGTTTGGATTTTGAAATAAAATTTAGATCATGATTATTTAAAAAACAATGATATAATTTAGATAATTGATTCTTAGAATTTCTTAATTATAGTAGTATAATATATAATTTGTTTGAAATATATTTTTTTGATTAAAAATATGTTTAAGATAATTTGTCTCAATTTTTTTTAAATAATTTTCAAAATAGTTGATTAATAATTGAAAGTGAAATGCAAGGGAAAAAAAAAAGGTGATTGCTATGCATGTGAGGCCTGTGTAAAGGGACTGGCCATATATGGCTTAGAAATAAAAAAATTATTTAAGAAGAAGAAGGAAAAGAGAGAGCGAGAGCGAGCGAGAGAGGAGTTTAAGTGTTTTATTTGGTTATTTTTTGTATAATAAAAATTTATCAAAATTAATTTTTTAATCATTTTTATTTTAATCTATAAATTTCAAATTTATTCAATATATTCCTTACAAGTGAATTTTTAAATTTTTTTTTATATTGCAAATTTTAAACCCACTCAGTATATTTTTAATATATAAAAAAAAAATTGAATCATTAGTGTTTATAAAAATCAAATATGCAACCACTAGAACACTAAGCATTTACTATTTATTTATTTTTATATATTTGAAATTAATTTATTTCAAATTAAATATATGAAATTATGTTTTTGCATAACTATTAAATAATTCAAATATAATTTTTTATTTCAATATTATTTATTTTTTAATAAATATATAAAAATCGAATTTACATACTTCCAAAAACTAATATTCTTATCAATATTGAATAAAAAAATATTTATTTATTTTTATGCCAATTTTTACATTTATTATTATTATTTTTTTTTTTATACAATCTTCTGAAATATTAAAGTAAGTAAGTAAGTAAGTACACACACACACACACACATATATATTGAATTCTCCTTTTGTTTTAGAACCCATTTATAAAGAAGAATTAATCAAGTATAAAAATTATGAAAAACACAGAAAAAAATAATCAAATATAAAAATTCAATTAAAATATTATAAAATTGGATTTATTTTTTTGTGATTGTAAGCAAGAATTAGCGTAACATTTAAAAAAAAAACCGTAAAGACACCCCTTGAAAATGGGCTAATTGGATTGGCATCTTCTTTTTTTCTTTTTTTTCCAACATCCTTGAACTTGAACTATAGAGTATTTTGATTGACATTTTTATTATATTTTATCTAATTTAGTCATTAAATATCCTTTGCAAATCAACGTTTTTCTTGAAAACTATTAAGAAATAGAACTTTCAAGGATTAATTTCTTGATGATAATTTTATTGTATTACAAATGATGTCTTTATCGTAATGTTGAGGTCAGTTTTTTAAGGTTTTTTTTTTTCAATTGTTATATGATTTTATGATATATATAAAATGTGCAATTAATATGTTACTTAATCAAGAAATGGATGGAATGTAACGGAATGAAAAGGAGTACTGTCAATCAAAACACTCTATAGTTCAGGATTGAAATAAAAAAGAAAAAAAGAAAAATTCAAATAGCACTAATCAAGAAATTGTTAGGTACACAAACTGATCGACTGACTGGATCGGGTAGTCTTCCAAGATCATGCTGGAAGTATGAATGTAATGTACTGCGAGAGAGGCCAAAAGGTGAAAGCAATCTCTGTAACAACTCTCTAACAGACTCCTTCCTTCTTTCCCCTGCCCTTCCTTCTTCCATATCATTAATCTGTGCAACTTTCTCATTCTTTGTTTCTGTCTGTGTCTTTGTAATTTATCAGGAGACATGGTACTAAAACTATATCTCTAAGATGATTTTGGAGACAGGTTGCTTTGATATGATTAACTCCATTTCCTCGTCAGAAACTGAAGATGATGAACTTTTCCAGCTTTAGCTCCCACCAACACCACTGACGTTGGGCAGTAGAACAAACAACCACAACCCCTTGGAAGATCTATCTTTCCAACTGCAGCATCAATTGGCCTTGAATACTCAATCCACACAAGCCCCCTTCTCAAATCATACGTGAAATGTTCACCAGATCATTCCCGGCCAGATGTACTCCCTCTTCATCTACTTTGCCCCCAATATCCAAAACCTTTGCAGATGAGCGCCGAAGGAGAGAAAAATTAAATGAACTACATAAGATATTGAGGAACTTGGTTCCTAACCGTACTCGCAAGGTACTCGCTTGAAGCCTAAGAGTCTGTGTCTCCTCCATTGTCCCATAATGATGTTAAAATACTTTTGTTTCTTTCGTTTTTCTTACTTATCTTGCATATATGTGTAGAATATATTTTTAATACTTGTAATTGTTTGTTTGTTGAGAAAAGTTTGATAGGTTGACTGCAGTGGAAGATGCTATTGAGTATATTAAAGAGCTTGCTCAGAGGGCTAGAGAGCGCAAACCGCTAATGGAGCAAAGGAGAAGCAAAAGAAATGTCGTAGGGGATACTGACGAGGGGCAGGACTATAACAAGAAGCCTCTTGGTCTTGCCCTTGATGGGCATTTCTACAACAATGGATCCTTCATAAACAATCAGAGTTAGCTTCAGAGGAAAACCAAAGATATAGAGGTGGATGTTCGTGTTGTCGATGATGTAAGTAACCATCAAACTCTTTCAGAGGATGAAGAACATCAGCACCCTGCTTTTTTTGTCCAAGCCTCGAAGGTCCTTTATGGGCTTCAGTTGGACCTCCAATATTTTGCTGGCAAGAAAATCGGCGATCGCACCAGCTTGGAGTTCAGAACCGAGGTCTTTGTTGGCGTTATATTACCATGTTTTTGCATCCGTAGAATAATTAATGGAGTAGTAAGTTGGTTTTCTTATGTAGTGTATTTCTTAATAATGTTATTTGTCCATGTGCCATAGCCAACAAACTGATTGAGGTTCTGCAGAACAGTTGCTATTAACTTGAGGGGACAAAGAAACATTCGTTTTCAAGGTGCCCTATATATTGGTAAGAAATAAATCATGCTTCGAGGACTCTGCAGAAGAAATTAGTGTCGCAGCTTGAATTAATTAAGGACATGGACAAGTCAATTTGTTGACGTATTCAGAATAGTAGAGGAGCAATTATCAATTTTATGAAAAAGTGTACATGATTTGTGATGCCATGACTCAAAAGGGTTACTTATCTCATCATTTGCATTGAGACAGAACCACAAAATAACACAAATCTTAGCATAAGACCTGATTTGGCTGGGGTTTTTAGTTTTTCAATATAGTTAATTAAATACATCCTACTTCAAACACAAGATGGCTACGCAAAGTGCCATATCATCCTGCTTCGTGGAAACCGACTACAATGAATTGAAAGCCACATAAATGGAGAGAACGATTTGTCAGGGGATACAAGGTTTAGAAATCACCAAAAAGAAAAATGGTTATGCATTGTGGATAGAAAAAGATTTCGAGTCTATTAGGAGGGAATTTTGGAGAACTTGAGAAATAATTAACATAAGATTTGAAAGTCAATAGCCTGATAATTGTTGGACCGATCAATGTAAGAACATATTTAGATAATAGAAAATTGGAAATGCTACCTTTGTGTATCATGATTGATCTACCCCAAGTACCCAGACGACGAGCTAATCAAAGAAGGGGAAAGCACTAAGTACTCTTCCTACCCAATCGAAACCTCTAAACGGCGTAAAAGAAACCTTTTGGGGGTGGGTGGGTGGGTTTTGGGCTTGGGGGGTACAAAAAGTAAAAAAGTAAACAGGGTCAACTCTCTGTGGGCTGGTGAAAAAGCGAAAATAGAAAGGATCAAGCCAATGATAAATCCAGCCAGAGGGCGACATGAAGGAAAGTAAAAACTAAGGCGAAATTGTAAATTAAAAAGAAATGTGCAACACAGCACTATTTTATTCAACTGCCTTTATTAAACTTACTTTGATTCCTGTGTAACTGTACCTTCGACAAACTTCGCTACAAAAGGTATGAATCAAAATCAAATTTGGGGTTGACATCTAGTTAAAACTTAATTTTGTGGAAGAACCTCAACAACACCAGAGTTCGGAATGCCCGGAAATTTGACTACAATAGAGCTCGTTAACTTTACACCAGTCCTCTATCCAACAAGAAAACTCGTGCAATTATTACTGAGGTAAACAAAATACAGCATTCTTCACCAGTTCTCAGGATGAAGCTGCTTTCTTGCAGTGATTCTCAATCCATTCCATTGTAACACTTTTCGGCCTCTCAAGTGGCAATCCAAGAGCTCGGTCCCATATCAGCTGAATGAACCAAAGTGATTCAGAAAAATTTAAGGCGCAACACATTATCATGGAAATCGATAATGACTGTAGAACGAACCTGAGAGCAAATGCCAATACTCCTTGATACACCGAATAGTACTGTGAAGTACCTATCAATAAGAAAATTTTAAAGAACATTATCATGTTTCCTCCAAGTAACATAGTTGCTATTGAAAAAGTCAATGTGGTACTATATTATTAAAGAAATATAAATGGAATACCTAGCTTCAGTTAAACCATAGTAGTTCAGCAACACCCCACTGTGAGCATCAACATTAGGCCATGGGTTTTTAACCTAAAGGGAGCATAAAATCCATGATTAGATTGACAAGAACATCAGAATGAACTTGCAATTGGATATATGGACAAAATGCAGATAACATTCTTACTGCCTAAGACAAATAGATGATTATATGTTATTTATGCTTTGTGCCTAAAGCAAAAGGATGAACAACTTACCTTGCCCAGCTCAGTAAGAATTGGGGGTACAACTTCATAAAGCTTAGAAACCTGTTCAGGCCAATACTAGGTTAGCTGGTGAAAGAATAATCCATGGGAGTAAAAGGACCGTGCACTAAAAAGGCATCCATGATGTAATCAGGAAAAAGAGACTACCAGCTGGAACAATGGATCATCAGGTAAATGCTTTAATGCAAACTCCCTCTGACATGTATATCTTGGATCAGTTTTACGCAAAACTCCGTGACCAAATCCAGGAACAACCTGCAAATAAGGGAGGAAGGGTGTGAAAGGAGAGAATATATAAACCAAACACAACAATAACAGACGCAGGACTATCGTGAAGTTAGAATGTAAGAATAATGTAGATATTTAAACTTTATAGATTTTGAAACGCATCAGCAAAGATTTACTGCCAATTCAAAAAGACATAAATTACCTTTCCGCTATTTAATGTTTTCCAAACGTAGTCTTTAAGTTGTTCTGTGGTTATATTCTCTCCACACTCTTCTACCACAGATTTGATCCAAAGGAGAACTTCCTGCAATCACAACATTTTGATGAGCAAGAAAAGAAGCAATAATAATCATCTACAGCAGAAAGAAAGTAATGTCAGCATTCAAAGGAACTTGCTTTCGGTAATAGACTACGAGATTGGTAAAATTCTTAATTAGAAACCAACATAAAACCCTAAACAGATAGTCAGAGAAACATTTTGGCTTATAAATCTGTGATGAGAGGCAAAAGAAAGCAAAAAATGTGCGACATGTTAGTTAATTGATATAAGATCTCTTCTTTTCTTTTTTTTTAATATTGATTTGGTCCCAATGCCATTCATAGACTTTGTACTCGCAATTTGCAAACAGGATTTTTTCGTTTTTCTATTTTCATATACGACTTGCCCTACCAAATGGTCTTCAGTGAAGTTTTTGCCTATAAAAACAGATGAAACACTCTAGCTGCCAGACATGGTCTAAGTGAAAGTGGGTCAAGTGTCTTTGCTTTTACAATTACCAAAGATGAACTAAGTAGACCACAAGTATGCCTATGACCAATACCAAAACAATCAGAACTTCTTGAGAGCATTCTTGAGTCCAGCTGGAGGCCTTTTTTAATTCAAAAGATCCCTCATAACCTAGGAGATCAATCACTTTAAAGTTGCATGTTTCGCAATCATGCTCACTGTCAACAATTAGACAGCTCAAGGGTAATATGATAGCAAACAAAGAAAGAAACAACCTAAAATGTTGGTCCGTCTTCCTAATGTAATATGTCTTCTTCAGCACAACCTAAGATGTTGGTCCTACTACAAAACCCCAAAAAAGGAAGAAGAACAGGACGATGGTGGGGAATTAGGAGAGAGACAGAATAGAGAGTAAGCTGGATCAATAGATACGAGTTAATACCATACCTGATTTGCCAAGCCATGGAGTGGCCCAGCCAAACCATTCAATGCAGCTGCAAATGAAAGGTAAGGATCTGAAAGTGCACTAGCAACCTGAACATATTACACATTGATTCCAGGAAAACCATATGCATCAGCATTTAACTCCACAAGAAATCATACACAATACCCCTACCTCAAAAAAGAAAATTCCTGAAAATGCAAACCTTTAGTAACTTACCAGGTGACCAGTATGAGCACTGACATTCCCACCTTCGTGATCACTGCATCACATTATAAAAACATAGAAAAATTAGCATGATAGGACTCTTCTCTATTTGCTACATGCATCAAGTGAAAATCAATTGTATGTCTTGCAATCCAGTGCAGTACAATATGTACAAACCTATGGATTGTAAGATAAAGCCTCATAAGCTCTTGCATCTGAGGACTATCAAATCCCAGCATGTTCGAAAAATTTCCACCATAATCCAAAGAGTCATTCTTAGGAATAACTTTTCCGTCTTTGTAAATCCTTCAAGAACAGAGAAAGATCAAGGACGTCACAGATAATTTCATGTAACATGGAAGTAAAAGTATAGTGAATTAGCTCCAGCATAAAATGCCCAACAGCCAGAAATGTGTGTGTGTGTGTGTGAGTGAGAGAGGGGGGCATATTCTTGCACACACATAGATCTGCAAAGGTAGCTTAAAGATGAAAGCATTCACAGAAAGTTTTTGCTCAAGAAAAAAATTGCACCTAGAAATATAAAGAGCAACAAAGGTTTTCAAAAGACACTACATTCAATATCATGCCTTGACCTTTTCTGATACTATCAGGAAAAATATGTCAAGGTTGAATGCTGTATGCAATGCTCACTGACCTTCGATAAACATATGAAGCTACTATTGGCACACGAGCAATCAGACTAAGAGAATCCTCATACGTTGGCTCCCAGTACCTAAGAATTCACATTGTTATAACATTGAACAATGAGCAAGGAGGAGAAAAATCCTAAAAAACTTACTTGGATTTGTGAATCCCTTTTTCATATGCTTTCTGAAATTCACTCTGAACCTGAAAGACACCATCAACAAATTAAAAACTGTTAACAAAAAGAAAACATGCAAGTCAACTAACACTCTTTAATGTCTCTTGTTCCAGAAAATATGTTAAATTAGCCGGTTGCTCTATCCCCATTCCACAATTTTATCTTTTAGAGCCTAAATCGACCATGCATGACATGGATAAGCTCTGAAAATTAGTATCAGAAAAGCAAAATCAAAAGCAATAATGATCAACCTGAATGAGCTTAACCACAATATTGAAAACAATCTAAGCAGGACAGATGAGAAGGACAAGAGTTGGGTCTTCAAACCATTTGTCTACCTGTAGGGCCATAACACCAGCTGCAAACTGAGTCATGGGATGAGCTGTAACTGGTAGTGCATCAATGGCCTTAAAGACATAATCTGCAACCAAGAACAAGAGATCAACAACCTAATGACATTGCTAATCATGAATGCATAAAAGGATGAGTCATTTCAGGTTAATAAATGGTCAAAAACGAAGACGGATGCATTCAACAAAAAGTATGTTATGTTATCCAGCTGTGCTGAACAACTTGTTAATGGTGCAGTATTTTTTCTTATAAAAAAACGAAGAAGAAGCAAGCAAGCAAGTTAAAACCTGCAACGGTGGCACGGTCACGCAATTCCTTTGACAAGGCATCAACTTGCACTTTGCTTGGTACCTGAATTGAAAGGGAGAGAAAAACAGAAATGCTAAAGGATAGTGAGAACAGAAAGTTTCAAAGACAAGTGATTCAGATATCTAGCGACAGTTCTATGTACCTTTCCAGTTAAAAGAAGCCAAAGAAGACCCTCTGGCAGAGGTTCTCCACCAGGCTTTGCAGCTGGCAACAATTTTTGGCATTCAGGAATTGACAGACCCCTAAAGCGAATTCCCTGAGAAACAAAGAACCTTCTTTCAGTTCTATAACTGAAAAAACAACTTCCAAAACTTTGCAAACCAATCATTAAAAAAAGTGAAAGATAACTGGTTATTTAACAAATTGATTAATAAATATCAATCTATACCTCATCTGGATCAAGTAACGAAGTCTCCCACAGCAATCCAGTCATTCCTCTCATCCCACCAAGCACCTTACAAATTCAATGTACAGGTAATTCAATCACAGATTACAGAGTTAAATAACAACTAACTGTTATATTAAGAGAAATTAAACAGAATATCAGTTGTCAATCTAAAGGCAAACACCAAAAAGCTCAGAACTATATTTACCATGTCAACAGTAATATTTCCCAACTGAACTTTTCCAAGCTCTGTCTTAATCTTCTTCAGGCGCTCCTGCAACGAAATGAAAATAAGAAAACCAAGCATATTTCTATAATTCGCCAGTATTAATAAGCAAGCCAGAACTACCTTCATCAGATTTAGCACAATCTTTGTATGGCAATGTTAATCAAGTTTAAGGTCTAAGCAAAAGTAAAGAAATAAGAGCTATTAAGTATTGCTTTCTAATCAGAAAATCCGTACCTGTTGTTCTGGGATCAATTCCTTCAGCTGAGAATGAAGGTCCTAAATATTCAAAACAGAGAGTAGGTATAAGAATCACTACAAAGAAAACTAACAAATTGCAACAAATGATCAATCAATTGAAACCGCATTGGTCTGTGTCAAAAACATAAAACCCTAAACACTTTGATTTATCATAACAGAAATATAAAGAATTACCAAAGCGCTACAGTAACACCAACCAAATCCCAAAATACACATTAAAAAAAAAAATTAAAAATCACTAAACTTAAGAAAATCATTAATTCTTCTCAAAGCCCACTCTAAACCCCTTGGACATTCAAACTTGAAAAATCCCATAAATCAAACATAACAACCAGTGAAAAAAAAAAAAAGGAAGATTGTTAGCTCAAAAAATGAAAACAAAATCAGCAATCCACTATGACATTCGTACGTAATCATAATAATAATAATAATAATAATATTAATAACAAAGAGAGAGAGAATAAATGAATAAGAGATGGTGAAGTAGGGGAGAGAAAAGAAATGATTACGAGATCAGAAGAGGTGGTCTGCGTTTGAAGCCATCGGACAGAATGGCTGAGGTTAGACTGTTGTTGAACCTGTTGCTGCTGCATCCATCAATCAAATTAATCATTTTCTTCCTTTTTTTTTAATTTTATTTTTAGAGAGAAATAGAAAATCATAAAGAGTGAGAGGGAGAGGTTACAGCGCGAGAACGGAGCCTAGAAAGAAGAGAAACGCTTCGAAAGAAAACCATGGCGAGCAATCAATCACCTACACAATCAATCAATCAATCAAAACTGAAAGAGATAAAAGGTGTAGGTTTTTGACCAAATGAAGAATTCTTGATTTGATCCAAAATTTCAAAATCCAATAATCAAATCATCCAAATGATGAAAGTAGCACTGAATAGTTGAAATGGAAATGCAAAAGGAAAAAAAAAAAAAAATTCAAACATACAGAAAGGAAGAAGCGATCTGAGGCTGAGAAAGAGAGAGAGCCGTCTAGGAAGGATTACTGCTGCCAACTTCCGATTTCTAAGATGAAGTTCTCACCGTTTCAAACCTTATTTCTCCTTCAAAATGAGAGCTTTTACTGCTTTGATCGTATTGTATATTCTCCATGTGTCAAAAATCCTTCTCCCTAGAAATCAACTTCTCTTTTCTTTATTTTTTATTTTTATCTTATTGACCAAACTAAACAAGTCAAAACCCAATAATATTCAATTTCTTTTTTCTTTTTTCCTGAGTGTGCACCATTTGTTGTAAATTGTTTTATTGGAAATATATAGTTAACTTTTATTTATTTATTTATTTATTTATGTTTCATTATTTCTAAATTTTCCTCTCACCCATTGATTTGATTATTATTTGACCCTTTTTGCCCTTTGGCGGCGTCAACCAATCATAAATGAATGTGCATTTTCAAATGTTAAAGAAGTACAAAAATTTTGAGCAGTATCAAAATGTAAAAAGACCAAATATGTAAACAATTGTTTTTCTTTAAGAGATCTGTTGTAAATAACGTATTTGAACAAATAAATTTGAATGAAGACAAGTCAATAACGTCAACAAAAAATTGCATGTGTTTCGCATAATTGGTTGGCAGGGGATTGTTATAGCATAGAAAAGAAAATACCATAAGCTGAAAAATGTGCACCAATATTTATTAGGGAGAATCGGTCAAGGTATGAGGTATAAGATGCTTGTTCTGCTATAATTAAAGCCAAACTCACCTAAAGCACTATCAATGGCTGGTCCTTGAATTCTAATCCCATGTGATGCAGAATAATTTTTTAGTGATCCAATTTTTTTTTTTCCCCCTTGTACTTGCTTTTCTTTTAGCGGTCATTGTTAACCTTCTTTTTTGCTTCTTTGAGAATGCAATTATTGTTAATCTATTAATCAATTCGATAATATTGCCTTTGATATTAAATAAAAAGCCAATGAAAGTGATGCTACTTTCTCATTTATCTTTAAAATTTCCAATAATTCGTCCACATGAGTGCCAAAATATTAGTAAAAAAAATCAATTGTTAATCAAATAATTATAGCTGTTAAATATCAGTCTCTTTTCTTCTTCTTTTTTCCTCTATTGTTACAAGCTTTCTTCTTCTTCTTCTTCCTTTTTTTTTTTTTGTACTAAATAATTAATTACATCCATACATGACAGCATAGCTACCTGCTACATGTTGGAGAAGAGAAACTTCTGCTGTCCAATTCTTTGTTCGAAAAAGAATGATGATTGCTTCATTTGTTGGGTCTCAAGCAATACTCGGGTTCCTCTTCTACATCCATAGGTCAGGCCGGATTTTGGGTTAACGTGGGCTCAGACTTATCTGTTCTCTTATTAATGCAAAAGTCAGGCTTAAATACGACCAAGCCCATTCACCCCACATCATCTCTTCTACGACGGTTCATTATTACTCCATATGTTTCCATCTGTTTCAAAATAACAGTTTCCTTCAACTTTTCACAAATTTATTAAGTAATTATAATGTTATATCAGCAAGTTTTAACAATAATTTTTTAATTATTATTTTTTATTTAAAAAAATCTATCTAATTTAATTATGCATTAGAAAATAGAGGTATTATATATACATAAACTAATTGATTTAGGATATCCTCTAAAATTTTCTGATTTTTTGAATCCAAAACATAGTACGGGGCACATTAAACTTTCTTGACAAAAGTAGTACTATAACACATAATACAAGCTAAAAAAAAAAAAAGATCGGAATTCGGGCTTTAAACTTGTGATTAAGGTATCACATTAAGATTCACAAGCTCTCTCAATCCCTCGCAAAATTCGACAAAAGATACGACGTTTTAAAGCTATACTATATCTCTGTGGTTCTGCCTTGGTCTTAGATATTTTTCATTGCAGGCATGACGGAAATCCACACATTCAGGTTGCTATCATGTGGTTCCAACCGTCCTGACTGTCCTTTTTTCGGTATAAAGGACGACCGGGAAAATATATTAATAACATCAACAAAAAGCCGCCATGTGTCTGCTCGACTCAGGACTCATCAAAGCAGACCAATATCTTTGGCTTTTCTTCACGCTAGGGCACCCAAAATGTACGGCTGCTAGTCCCATTGACCCAGACTTGTCAGCAGCAGCGCCTGCCGTGCTACAAAAGTTACTAGAAACAAAGAAATTTCGAAGCCTTGCTCCCATTTTTTGTTTTTTTTCGCCCTTAGAGATGGATGGACTAGCAGGGCATTTTAAGCTATTTTTTCATCAAGGGTTCTATTGAGTTAGGCATTAATTAATCATTGATTAAAAAAATATGCAAATAGCTAAAAAAACATATTCTTAATAATTTTTTTGACTTGGTTGATACTTTTACAAAAATTAAATATTAAAATTTAATTCTTAATAATTGAATTCTCCAATAGGGTGCAAATAGCTACAAAAAAAATATGCAATCAAATAATAAACCATATTATTTGTGTTTGCATTAATCAATTACAACCATGGAATTAATTTAGGGTATAAATGAATTGATTTGTTATAACCTAAGTCTTGCTATTGTCCATATATATATTCTCGAGTTAGATTTCGTATAATTTGAGATTAAATTCACTATTTTTTGTTATTAAATCAGTACTATATCACATTTAATTTTTTATCAATTCTAAAAATCGAATTCTTTAAATCTACTTGTAGTTCATAGCTCATGCTAAAAAAAAGATAAAATAAGAGTTTTCTAAAAGTAAAAAATCGAACTCGTGGCTTGATATCTCATTAAATCTATATTGTTGAACACAATTGTTAAAAAAAAAAATGATATATAGTGTTATAGAATCAATCCTTACTTATAACGTAATATTTGAAAATATTTTTCAATTGGGTTTCAAATATTCACGTATATTCATTAATTATGAATTATGTCCAAAGCACATGTTCATGAATAAATTTTTTTTAAAAAAAAGATAAATAATGATGGAATTCCATGGTTGAAGTTGCTAGGGATTTTTGTTGTGCTCTTTACATCGCTAAATGTTCATTGCAAAATCATTGCCGATCCATTGCAATTTGATGCTTTTTTAGTTTCAATAGCTAAATAGTGATGTAATTAAATCTATCGTTAAAATCTAGTTTTAATTGTCTATTTTCTTTTAGTGTGAGGATATAAATGAATTGATTTGTTATGACCTAAGTCTTGCTATTACACGCACATATATAAGGCATTCTCAAGATAGATTTTGCATCAATTAAGATTAAGTTTATTATTTTATTTTTTTTACTAAATCAGTGCTGGATCACATTTAATTCAACTTTAAAAATAGAATTCTTTAAATCTACCGACAATTCATATCCCATGCTAAAAAAAAAAAAAAAGAAGAAGAAGAAGAAGAAGAAGAAGATGAGTTTTCTAAAAAGAAAAATCCAACTCATTGCTTGATATCTCATTAAATCTGTATTGTTGAACACAATTGTTATAAAAAAAAAAAAAAGATATATAGTGTTATAGAATCAATCCTTGCTTATAACCAGTATTTGAAAATATTTTTCAACCGGGTTTCAAATATTCACGTATATTCATTGATTATGAATTTTGTCCAAAGCACATGTTTATGAGTACAATAAAAAAAAAAAAAAGATAAGATTTTAAAAAGTACTTTTTGAAGTTTTTATTAAATATAAACCATGATTTCAAATAAAAAATAAGAATTTTGAACTTCTAATTTGAAGTTTGTCGTAAATTAAAAAAAAAATTAAATGCTGAATTAAAAATTAATGTGCATAAATTGATATCGAATATTTGTTTCCGAAATGATTTTGAAAATGTATTATGATACATATAGGTTGTAGGTCCCAACTCTAAAATCTAAATTCAAAAAATTAAGAATAAAACAATTTTTTTAACCACGGTCTTCATTGTTTAAGAATTAGTATTATTTAATTGTGAAGAGATTATGTAGGCACCAAAAGGGGAACCTTAGATATTTTTATTTTCGCGTTTGGTGTTGTATTTCAGCTTTTATATATACTACAGCAATAAATAAATAAATCTAAAAATAAAAGAAGACGAACCCCTTGTTTGGATAGGGTGGAAAGCGAGGAAGAGGAAAGAAAATAAGAAGGAAATGAAATTTTTCCTCCGTTTGGTTTGTAGAAGAAAGCTGTGGAAAGGAAAAAAAATATTAAACAAATCTATAAGTGGTGGGACCCATTTTCCTCCCAAAATTGGGAGGAAATGGGGAGAAAAACAAAAGAAAACTGATTTATTTTTATTTTTTTCCAGTTTCACTCTTGCCTGGCGTTCCTTCTCTTTCTCTTCCCTGCCCATCTCATCTCTGCGCAAATCAACTCTCTTGTTCTCGCTTACCAACAACCCAGATTTTAGCCTCGACAAGTTGGTAATGGAGCCCAAATAGAACTTAAGAGTTCGATAAAATAGAGAAGAAATAAAGATGTAAGTATAAGGAGCTTAACAATTTTATTTTTTTTAAAAAAAAAGGAGATCAACCACTGAAGAGGATATGTTGTGGTCCAAGAAAAACCATACATGAAGAATAGATAAAGAAGAGGAAGTTCATTGAGAGAGAGAGAGAGAGAGAGAGAGAGAGAGAGAGTGGGGGAGGGGGGGGAGGGGGTGGTGGGGTGGTGAAGAAAGAAAAAGGGAAAGCTGGAGCCAAAGGGAGGACATGACAAGCACATTTGTGTTGCAGGGAGAGGCAACGCACGATCCTGCCAATGAGCCACGCGATGACCCTAGCTAGCTAGATGGAATAGAAAAGATGCTACGTTGACAAATTGATATTAATTTTTATTTATATTTTTCACATTGTATCGATATTTTTAATTAAATTAATAGATTATTTATTTATTTATTTATGTCAAATGTAGTCATCCTTTCATTAAGAGGAAGTATTTTAGTGATTTATTCTCTGCTAAATGATTTTGGAACATCATCACCATAAAAACAATTTATGATTATAATATTTATGATTACTACTATTATTATTATTATACCATTATTGTAAATCTTAAGTCAATTCAAATGAAATTATATAAAAAAAAAATCGGAGAAAATGATGAGTAAAAGCAACTAACTTATTATATGCATAGATAATAATACATGTTATACATATTTAAATTAATTTTATGTTGATAATTAATCTAAATTGGCTATTGAATTAATTAATTAATAAACGGTTATTCTATGAAGACGATTCATTATCTATCTTATCATTTCGGATATATGTTACATGCTAGATTTTTATTTTATTATCATTTGTGTTATTTTCATGAAAAAAAATATTTATACAAATTTATTATAAGTATTTAAATATAGGAATATAATCACAGGGGTATTATAGTACATATATAATAATACATTTTCTTTTCTTCCTCTTTTTATAATTATCCAAACAAAAAAAATGTATTTTCTTTTTTTTCTTTTCACCCTTATTCAAATAACAAGTAAAAAATAATTTTTTTTCTCTTTTTTTTCTTTTCTCTTACTTTTTTTTTTCTTTTCTTTCTTTTCAAAAGAGGAATTATCCAAACAAGGGGGAAAAGAAAGCCGATGGAAAGCTGAGGTCTAATGGCGGCGGCATTGAGCACCGAGGAAGGCAACGAAGGCGTGTAACTTTGGATTGCACGTGACAAAAGGACCTCTTTCCTGTGGTCACACAGGAAGACAACAAAAATACCTTGTTCACATTCATTCACTCTATTTTTTTAATAATATTATTATACTTTACGCGTGTCTTTGTTTAAGTAGCAAGTGGCAAGGTTCATGGAATACTGCCGCCCTACCAACTCCTACCCAAGCTTAATTTTCTGCTATTAGAAGTAGTCGTAGTTACCATATGATAAAAGAACGGTTAGTTAGTTCTTTTCAGTCCAGTCCTTTCTCTCCCTCATCCCCATCCCCCACCACTGAGACGTTCAAGTCAATTACTATTACTAGAAGATCTTGCTTGCATGGCTTGTTTACGTGGCTTTCACATACGCTTCTTACATAACTAGTTACTTATGTTAACCAACCAGCTAGCTTGTTAATTAATTAGTTAAGTTGTTAATTAGTCCGGTAGATTATAACTGTAGAGGTTGGTTGGGAATTCAAATTTTGCTTCTCTAATGTATTGGTAATGAAGCTCTGTAAATATATTCTGTAGATTTATTTTTTGATTGAATGAGAAGAAGTAGCAGACTTTTCTTCTCTATCAAACATGGTATTAGATCTTAATTCAATTAGATTTTTTTCCTTGTTCAACTTAAATCTCTTTCTTTGAAGTTCATCAGTGGCCGATTTTACTTTTAACATTTCAATAGAAGATCTGTAATTTTTTTTTTATCTTTATCGTTCAAATAATTGCAGTATTGTGATTGTTTTTTTTTTTAACTAATATCAAGCAATTATGTATTATGGAGCCGTTCATTTCTATTTTTGCTTTCAAATCAGAGTTTAACCTTTCTATTTTTTATTTTGCAAAAGGCATAATTCACCAATTGTCATGTGTACGTACACCTCAATAAAATAGTATCGCTAGGAGGAAACATCAACACTCATTTGTTTTTGCTAGAGCTTTATTGTTTCAATCTCATTTACCTATTAATTTATAGGAAAATGCAGTTTTAACTACAACTTACTTGTTCAATAGGCTTCCTACTTCTATCCTACATAATATAACTTTTTTATGAATTGTTATTTCATAAAAAAAAAACCCTTTATATCGTCATCTATAAGTTTTTTATTGTCTTTGTTTTGCTTACGCTCTTTTTTATAACGGAGAGAAGTTTGATTCTAGTGTTAAATAATGTATTTTTATTAGCTATCTTGTTGGCATGAAAGCATACAAGCTTGTATTTTTTAAAATCCTAAAACTATATTTATTTTAAAAGATATTAAATTCTACGATGATGTTTTTCTTTTCTCTTATATTTAGTCCGATCTTTTTCCTAAAATCCCTAACATCATATCTCATATACATTACATATTTTCTTAATGTTTTTCATGATTCATTACCAGAATTTAACAATACAATATCCGTTTTTGAAACACTAGTCGTTATTTCGGAAAGTATGCATGTTTATAAAAGCGTATCTCGTTTTTGAAACAATTACTAATTAAACAAATTTGTTTTTATCGTATGTTTTTTATTTTCAATCAACCTCATCATCTTTGGAGATTATCCCTTCTAGCCCTTTTGTTCTTATCA